GAAATGGGGTTTTCCATAGTCGATAACTAGAGATGAAATATAATTAGATTCTGACAAATCAGTTGCAAATTCATCTTGTCTTTCTTTTTCTAGGCCAGTAACCTTCGTTCAAGCTTTTTCTATGATTAAGTCCTATTATGATGATTTATGGAGTGATAGTTCTAATTCCCACCTAATACACATTACCATCTCTTATTCTATGAAAAAATGTGAAATTGTCCTTATAGTATGAGGTAATTTATAAGAACTTCGGACTTTATTCAATAAATTACTTATAGTGGGCTCTCATTTAATCTATTAAAACTAACCAGTTTAAATACAAAGTAGATACTGCAAGTCCTTGACTTACAACCAATCACTTAGTGACTGTTGAAAGCAATGAAAAAGATTATTTACAACCAGTCCTCCCATTTATGTCACTTATGAAATTCAGGCACTTGGCAAATGGAATATATTTATGATAGTTGCAACATCTGGGGTCATATGATTACTATTTGCAACCTTCTACGATGGCTTCTAACAAAGAAAATCAACAGGAAAAGCTAGATTCACTTAACAACTATGGTAATTTGCTTAACAACCATGGCAAAAAGGCTGTAAGATTGTTCACAATTTACTTAATTACCGCCTTGCTTAGGCAACTACAAATTATTTTATTTACCAAGGCCTTTTTGAAGACATTTTAATTATTATTACACCATCACCATCAACACTGGGTCTGAAAGTCTCTGAAAGAAGAAATCAGAAAACTTAGAATATTCCCGATTTTTCTTAACAGGGAGACAATGACGCTTTCTTAGAGACTTTACATTGATTGTGACAAAAATTGTCCTAACACCTGTGCTATTTTATTATAAAAGGGAAAAAGATAGTTATATAACTCTGGCTCCCTAGATGGATCTGTAGAACGTGAGAAAATATATATCAACTTAAATACAGTTGGTATTGTTATTTAAACCTATAAAAGGAAAGTTGTTCAAGAGGCCAAAGTAAACAGATCTTTACAAATAACTTTCGATCTATTGGCCTAAACTTTCAAATGGAAATTTTATGGATCCCTTTTCTATCAAATATGCAACGTTGTAGGATATTTTGCTTTCAGCTGAAACAAGAATTTAGGATTAGCCTAGACTGGGTTTTTATCTAATATGTCTACATTTTCCAAAAGCACTTCTACAGAATAAAATGCTAGACTTTTTAGATTTTTTTTCCTCTTTAGTATGAAACAGGGACAAACAAAATTATTTTGGTTATTCAACTGGTATGAAAACAGTAGTAGAATAAATAATGCCCCTTGTCACCTATTTCACTATTACTGTGACATAAAACAAGTTATAGCCATTGTAAAAAGTAGTTGCCTGCATAATTCATCACATATCATGCATCTTTCATAGCTATCAATGGGAATATCAGTATAGAAAGAATGATATCTGCATAGCTAAGTAGTTTAATTATGATTCAAGTATTGTGGTTCATTGGTTGTTTTGCAAATGACATATGCATGTGACAGGTATTGAAAACATGGACTGGAGAGAAGACAACCATTCCCCCCCTCCCTCCAGGGAAAATGAATGGTATGGAATTTTGCATTACTCTAAACCAGGGGTAGTCAACCTTGGCTCTTTTATGACTCGTGGACTTCAACTTCCAGAATTCTGGGAGTTGAAGTCCACGAGTCATAAAAGAGCCAAGGTTGACTACCCCTGCTCTAAACAATCAGTAGTGTATATGAAAAACTAAGCTTTTGGAAACATCTAGTGGGTAGGAGACTACTCACTATGTCACAATATGGCAATGTCACAAATACTAAGCATAAGATAATGGACAAGTCTGTTATAAATTGCTTAGGTAGCAGAAGGAAGTAGAACTCACATCGATGTGTTCTATGTAAAGTTTCATAAGTAAAACCTTTTTTCTAAATATATCAAAGTCATAGCATTCTGAGTGGACTGCTCTAATAAATACATATCACTGTGTACCAGCACTGCTTAAATGTTCAATATTTAGCCTTTCTAGGCCACCAATTGCAACATGACTCTGGGTAATTTCACAAAGTTTAAAAAATAGCCTTATATAAAAAAATAAGGCCTTATATAAAAATAGCCTTATATAAAACCAACAATGGAGTAACATGTCATGCTTTCACATGACTCCATGGTTTAAAAGAGCCTGTGCAATTACTCTGTCCCAAAGCATGGAGGAAAAATAATTTTTTTTTAAAAAAATATTGTCGGAGATAAGCAAGGTACAGAATCTCTGGGAGATGCAACTCCAAGGAACAAGTGTAATGACAGAGAAGGTCCACTAGATGACATTGATTAATTGTGAAACCCAAACAACACTGATGGAGGACACCAGATGGGCAGCACTATGGGAAACAGGAAATTCCTGATTACCATGTAAGGCTTTAGAGGCAATGATCAGCATCTTGAATGCACCCAGAAGACAATGTTATGACAAACATGTTTAGTATTTACTTTAGTATTTAGTAAATACTTTAGTGCTTACTTTTGTACTGTAAATACTTGTTTTAGTATTTATATAAATGTATGTTGTTACACAGGAGTCATATTTTTGAAGAAATGTACACAGGATAATATTTTTAGTGAGTTAGTATAATTAGATTTCTTGGGCCATTTTTGTTTCTGAGCATTTTATATACCTTTAAGACTTCATAAGCCACTCTTCCAATACAATTTCATTGCAGGTAACAAAGTACTCTAAAACCATAATCTAATGATAAAAATTGCAACATGAAACACAACCCTTAAAATTTTCAAAAGACACATTTAATCAGAGTCCCTGTACCATTCTATAACATAGTGTTGTTGAAAGAAAAATCATCATCAGGGTACAGTCCAAGCCAGGAATAAATAAAATGGAGGCTACTTTTGAAAGGTTATTTATTGAAAAGTAGAACCATAACAGCATGTGGCTCTGGGGCAGCTGACCACATGGTGCTGGGAGTGGTGGGTTTTTATACTTCTTGGGCTTTTGTGTTTGGAGTTGTTCTTATTCCTGTGGCATGACCTGAGGTTCAGTGTACCCATTTTGTATTCTGATGGTGGTGGGTTAATACTATTATGTCCGAGGTCTGGGGCTGATGGCTATATCCTGTGTTGGATTTTTGGGTGAGGGGTTGCTGGTTCTTTCTGCTTGGGGCAGAGAGACTTGGGGTTGTGGTGGTTTCTGCCTAAGTTTTTCTCCATTATTCCTTTGGGGAAATATAATATTCTGTCTTTTTAATATTCCCCAAAATATTTCTTTCTCTGGGGGGAGGGTGCTGTCTTCCTACACTAAATAATAAATAATAACTATATTAAGAGAAACTTTGATAAGTGAGACTGGTAGTTGTTTAAAAGCACAAGAAGTTTGGAATTAGGTTTATACACGGAGCCAAGAAGATGTTATACAAAGAAAAGTCTTTTCTGAACAATGACTGGTTTAAATACTTTTCTTCTTGGTATATTAGTTGACTTAATAAATAAACTAAGCTAAAGCAAATTGTCTTACTATCTTACACTGTGTGAGCCCAGCTCTTTCCTTCATTGTATGATTCAACACATTGTAGGAAAACAGCACCCCCCCAGAGAAAGAAATATTTTGGGGAATATTAAAAAGATAGAATATTACATTTCCCCAAAGGAATAATGGAGAAAATCTTAGGCAGAAACCACCACATCCCAAGTTATTCTGCCCCAAGCAGAAACCAACTCTGTAGAAATGCAGATTTGATAATCCTTCCAGAAAGACTGGACTCAGCAAGCTTGAAGCTGATGGGATTAGAAAGACAAAGAACCCTAGAACCAGCAACCCCTCACCTAAAAATCCAACACAGGACATAGCCATCAGCCACAGCCACAGGAAATCAGGACTTGACCTTTAAGATATAATAGGATTAACCCTCCATCATCAGAATACAAAAAAGGCACACTGAACCTCAGGTCAAAGTTCATGCCACAGGACCAGGAACAACTCCAAACACAAAAGCCCCAGAGCCACATGCTGTTGTGGTTCTGCTCTTCAAGAATCTTCTTTCAAAAGCAGCCTCATTTTATTTATTCCTGGCTTGGACTGGACCCTGATGATGATTTTTCTTTCAATATTAGCATATGAGAACATAACACAGAAGAGTAGTAAACATACAATATATACAAAATCCCTGTAACTATAGGTAAATTATAGGTAAAATTCTATGGGGGTATGGCAGTGACCTCATAATTGGATGTCTAATTCAGCTATCCAGAGGATCACCTCTGATGTTACTTCATGCATATCAATATGGTCTTGTCCCTCTATCTGACAGCATTCTATCTAGCCCTTCACAACATGATGCCATTTATTTCAATAGAGTTACCTAAAAGAGATTCTGTAATAGTGGATATACTCCAGGTCAGGAGGAGAAACCCATCAGAAACAAACGAGAATTAAATTTCAGTGCAAAAGGAGTCAAGAGACAGACTTGAAACTGGAAACTCCTTATGGACTTTCTGCATAAAAATTTAAAAAATGAACTTGTGATTTGTTTAGGAAGATAGATCATAAAAAGAAAATCACGGTGGAACTTTAGAGAAACGTTAAAACATAATTATACTTATAACTGCTGTGCAGGATACCAGATGCCCCTTATTTATACTTTTATATCTTTCCCTTCATTTCTACTTTTTTATACCTTTTTTCTTATTGCAATGTTAACTATCTCATATAGAGGAAATGATCCCAAAGGGCGCTTCCTTGAATACCAGAAGCTGTCTCTGCAAACAGCAGCGCTTCATGTTGTTCGCACGCAACTCCTTTACGCCCAGGTGAAGCAGTTACATTTCTTATGACTTTCCAAAAAATTCAAGCATCTTCCGCCTACCCCCACCATTAATGATTTCTAAGGATTTCGACCGGCGAGTAGCCCCTCCCAGCCCCTTTATTCCCCGTCCACTCCAGGGTTCTTGCCGCAGCTGCAGGAAGCCAAACCCCGCCCCTCTCGTCCCCGCGTGCAACCGGCTGACTGGCGAATGAGACTCAACGTCCTCCCGGCAAACCCATTGTCTGCATTGAGGCGCCGGCGGGAAGCGCGAGAGGAGCGAAGCCAGTAGCGTCGGCGATTTTTCTCTGAGACGCGCCCGCGCGCTTACTTACACCCAGAGCAAACCAGAAGCCCTGCAGGAAGGAAGCTGCGCTTTGCCGCGATGCGGAGCGCCAGCAGTCGCTCTGTTAAGAGAAGGAACCAAGGAGTAGCCCCGACTCGGGACCTCTGCAGCTGCTGAAAGGAGAAAGAATCTAGGCCGCCTCCGGAGATTCCCAAGTTTGTCCTGAAAGGAGGAGCCTTACTACCTTTCGCTTCATATGGAGACTTTGAGCTCCGTGCGAGCTAAAGTAGGAGCCCGAAGCCCCGTTGGCTGCGAGGGAGCAGGGACCGGCGAACCCCAGCCCATTTGTTCTTCGGGTCCAGCTATCCGAGGCTCGGCGGCATCGGATTCCCCCGCTTATAGACTTGAGGACCTGGAGACCTTGGCTACTGTGGGTGAGTGAGGCTAGGCTTCAGCCAATGAAAAACAAAGAACCCGAGAGTGAAACGTAGTCTAGCCCCCCCGCCCCTTTGCGCGCGCCGCTCTGTGACCACCCACTCGGTTCTCGAGGCTTGACTGACTTGAAAGGGTCCCCTTCCTTCCCTGAGGGATCGGAGGGTCGAGGCTTCTTAGTTCAGAAGGCTGCACTCTGTTGAGCAGGTGTGGTGCAACAGAATTGTGGGGCGTCCCTTCGCTTGGAAGTCATGAACTAAGAATCAAGGCAACAGGAGATGTTGTCACCGCTCTTCTTCCCCTGGGCACAGCCCCAAAGGATGTTGCCAGCTGTGCCATCCCTGTGAAAATGCAGTCTCATTGTTCGTTTGGTTTTTCAACTTTCCCATATCTTGTGCACCCCGGCAGCACTTGCTTTTTGACATCTAGATTTTTTCTTGCTTATTAACTTCTTGTATTTTGATTGGGGGGGGGGGGTTTCTGCAACTGTTTTATCGGGCAAAGCAGAGTGAGTTTTACAGATGTCAGTTGAAAAGCTAGCAGTTTTCTCTGTAGTTTCAGAACTTCTAACCACAATATGAACAAGTCTGATTATCTATGTAAATAAGTGTTTCTGATTCTGTTTCTGCCTCTCCATGTTGGCATAAATTTAAACCAGTTTGTAAACAGTGTGGTTCTGTTGATCTGCGACTCCCAAAAAATTGCTGAGGTTTCAGCCTTTAAAGTTTTAATTGATGTGCACCACCCAGAATCCCCTTTGGGGGAGATGGGTGGTTATATAAATTGGATTAACAAACAATTTACACACTTTTTTATTCTGAGTCCTAGCAACATCAGTGGGGGTTCAGCCCAACACAAGCTGTTACATTAATCATAGCTTTATGCTGTAGAGAATTTAAATGTTTTTCCAACCATTTTATGTGAAGTAGTTGTGTTAAGCTATAATGCCTTCAGAGAGATTCAAGCTTGTTAAGAAAATGTAATACACTACTTAATCATTTGTTTAGTAACCATTTGAAAATGGAAGAAAAAGATTACAACCAGTCGCGCACTTACAACTATCACAGCATTGTCATGGTCACATGATCAAAATTGGCAACCAGTTTGAATTTAGAAAAGTTGCATCATCCCAAGGTCATGTGAGCACTATCACCCAACTGGTTTCTGACAAGCAAAGTCAATGAGGAAAGTGGGATTCACTTAAGGACTGCATCATTCACTTAGTTGCAATGATTTGCTTAATAGCTGTGGCAAAAAAGTCAAAACCAAGTGTGTCAGTTAATAACTGGTCACAATTGCTGTCATAAGTTGAGAACTACTTGTAAATGCTTTTACAGAATGTTCATAAATTCCATCCTAGCTCCTGTTAATATTAAACACTGCTTGCAACTGTGGGTGTGTTCTTCTGTTCAGCTGCTCAAGTTTCAGTGTATCTACAATACTTAAGGATTGCTCATGTAATAAGCTGGAATATATCCTACATTCCTTTCAAAATGCAGGTAATGTATGAAATTTGAAATAGATCCAGTGATAGTGGTAGGCAGGGCTTTTTTTCTCATAGAACGCCCAGAACGGAGTTCCGGCACCTTTTTTGGATGGAACCTTGTAGGGTAGGCAAGGTGGGTTGTATGATGTGTGTGAGTTCTAGCACCTGGTTTTTTTTTTTTTTTTTTTAGAAAAAAAGCACTGGTGGTAGGTCTTTTATTTATACATAGCCTTCTTTCCCAACTTTCCTCCCTTGACAGATGTTTACTTGCAATCTGCATAGATAATAGCGTTAGCAAGTTTTCAATGTAATGAAAAGAAGAAACTGAAAGCAATGCCACACAACAGTAAGGAAATCTAAGGTGAAATATGCACTGGAAAGGCTCTTATGAAAATCTCTTTTATTTAGTTAAATTAAATTAAACCCAGATTCAAATGTTTATCAGTTTGGAATTCACCGTTTGAAATTCTACTGTAGACATCCAGCTATGAATAGAAATGCTTGTTTGCATTTATTTATATAATTACAGGATATAGTTTGGTGATACATCCAACTTATTTAGTGTAGATTGATATCTTTACACATTTGTTACACAAAGGACTATAGCAGCCTTGTATTAACAATTAATTTATATGCCCTGAGAAGGAACATGTATATAGGTTTCTAATAATATCAGCGTAGAAGGAACTGATCTATCTTTCCTCTGTCTGATAATAATGACAACAGCCTACAAAACAATCACCTTACAAGTATTTTTCATCCATAGTCCAGTATTTTTTTTCTCCATAATCTAGTATTTTGTAGCCTCAGATCAGTTGTAAGAAATTCCTCTCTTTTTATGTAGTCAACTTGAATATGTAATAGCGCTGGGGTTTTTTTTAGGATAATGTCCTGGACTTGCCTTAATTTGGAGCTGGATATTCTGATTTCATCAGCATCTGCAACTGCATACACCTGCTGATGCTGCCTACAAGTGGGTGTAGTGATACCTATCCATACCTTGGTGATCATAGCTCAGTTGTGCAAATAGGACTCTGACTAATCCTAACCCTAAAGAAGCCAGTGAATGAGACGGATGTCCTGTTTCTTGTTAACGGATTAAATGTGTGGCACATGTTAATATTGTTTAATCAGTTCACAAACAGCTTCTTAGCTGCATGTGTATATGGACAGAAAAATGAATAGGAACATTTAATCTTCAAATTATAGAATTTTTCTATTCTTTATTTTTCTGTATGTTTCCAATAGGGAGAAAATGTATAGGCTTCGATTGACACCTTATTCATAAATAATTTGCTTATAGGGGGGTCACATCCTGTTAAAAAAAATCACATTTTTGTTATAGAAATGAAGCTCTATTCCAGAATGGGAACCTCAAAATTATTTGAATTTATTGAGTCCATACAACCATTAATTACCACTTTTCCAGGTACAGCCATTGAGAGATTTTCCTCAGTGCATGGATATAGCAATAACAATAATACATATACATAGAGCTTTAGAGCCATCTCTAAGCTGTTTACGGAATCAGCATATTGCCCCTAACAATCTCATTTTACCAATCTTGGAAGGCTGAATCAAGATAAGGCCTGGAGAAATAATACAAAGCTGAGACTTCTTGCCAAAAATATGGCCTCATGGGTCCCTAAGAAGTTTTAAGTTTGTTTCTAAAAACTTAATACTGGGGATCACTTTTGACTCTGTTGTAATATGTAAATAAACTCTACATTAATGTACAGAAACATGATAAAGGAACAAAACGATAATAAACATTGGAAATGGTCAAAGTAACATTTTCTAAAAGTTTATCTCAGTTGAGCTCTGGACTTGGCTCATGATCTTGTAGGTGTAACTTCCTTGAAAGAAATATTGCTGGCAGAGGGCCTGCAAGTCTATTGAAGGAGACAGAAAGGGTTTTGAAGGAGACAGTGTTTTAAATAATATTTGTTATTGAAATAAAATTAAATTATTTTTCATTGAGTGGCATTCTTACTCCAATCACACATACTGACATTTTGGAAATGTCTGACCTTTATAATTTTCAGCCCTTCAAAAGAAAAAGTTGATAATTCCCGTTTCTTTTCTAAATGTACAATATATATTTGCTTAAAATAGATAGATTCATTGCATATTTCAATAAATATATATTGTATTATTATTTTCACTGTGTCATTTTTTAAAAAAACATATTTTTATTAAATATGTTATAGCCATTTATACATTATTTGAGTGACAATCCACTTTTAATAGTTTATGTATTTTCTTTAAATCACAGAATTAAATATATATTAATATAAATATATATTTGTTCTCTGTTGACCAAAAAGAATGTATATGTAATGCATTTTGGGTGCAATAATGGTTCTAAATTCCTTTTAAGAAATGTGATTGTTTCTTTAATTCTATGTTGCATATTCTAAAAGTATATTCATTTAATAATTCATATTAGGAATCATTAATTAGTAAATACATAAAATAAACAGACAACAGATCACCCGCCCCAAGATACTTAGTTGTCTTCTATGCTTGGGATTTTTGTCCAGAGATTTTGTTTAAATTCTATGGGATGACTAAGATTGAAAATGATCTGATGGTACATAATCAAAAAGCTGTGCTTTAAAGTACATGATTTTATTAGTGTCACAAATTGTGAAGTATGGAAGTAAGGATGTTTTTGCACGTTTACCCTGTAATGTTACATCTGTTACTGCTATTGTAATGTTACAAAGTTTCCATCAAGAAAGAGATATAATGGACTACTATCCTTGAGACAATTTATTGATATCTTATTGACTTTATTAGGTTCCAATCACTCTAGATATCTATGGAACATTGATGACCTAATATTAACAAATAAAGATTCAATTGTCAGGCAGGCATTCCTGTGAACAGCAAGAATTTTAAAAGTTGGCTGATACAGTTCTTAAACAAAAGATCTTTAAAAATATGAATAGTTTGATTGTCTTCATTCTAAAGCTGAAACAGAAACTTTGCATCTTTATAAGATATCACAGTGGAAGGAAATATTTTGGAATGTATTACTCTTCTGCTGAAAATTACAGCAGAAGAGAAGAGTAAAGGAATAGGTTAATTGAAAATAAATTCTTAGAGATATTTTGGCCATCTATTTTTATGCACTTTTTCAGATAATAGACTAAACACTTTAATATGTTTAGAAATGTTAGATATATGTTTTTTTAATTTTATCTTTTCTTCCAAAATATCAATCCGCTATCATGGTTGTTCCTTGCTCTCTATTTTTGCCCCATTGGAATCCTGTGCAGTAAACTAAGCTGGCCAAAAGAGACCATTAGTTCAAAGTTGCCCAGTCTGAGATATGAATGAACAAGGTGTCTTGGAATACCACCAATATTGTTGAGAGCTTCTCTGTTTCACCTAACAAAATATAAATGATTGGTCTGTTAGTGGGAGAAAGTGGCAAGAAGGTGACAAGCAACAGGGAGAAAGCAGAACTATTTAACTCGTTTTTTGCATCTGTCTTTACACAAAGGGAAA